GTAAGTGTCAGAAAAATTAAAATGATTGTCATATAGTAGTACTTTTCATTAGAGTGTATTAATGCTTTTGCTGACATTCTACTTTAGTATTTTATCTTAAATGGTGAACCCGAAGAAATGTTTGTTCACCCAATTTTTTATGTTGGGTGCACCTTTTCCCCAAAATGAATTTCGAGCCCTGTAGAAGTAAAGAAAACATCAATTCTACATAGTAATAACGTTACCTGTGTGTTCTTGAAGAAATCAAACTTTTGGCTGATAAAATTTTCCTTGCTACCCTCTTCAATTTTTTTCAAATTCTGTAGTATAGTTCTCAGCCAGAAGTGCTTCTCTAAATCATGGGCAAGGTCTCCCAATTTGCACATGGTAGTGTAGGCTGCTGTGTCTTTTAAATAAACAGTACCCCAGCTAGGAGACCCACATGTGGAAATGTGATATATCTGATCAGTATTAGTCTGGGGTGTGAGGAAACTTGACTGTGAACAGAAGGTCCAGGCTGGTTAGTTCGGAGGTTAGGCCACACCAATTTAATTTATTGGTTCTCGGATTTGCCCGCTTCATTTTTTTCCACTTTGCAAAAAAAAAATCCTTTCAGACTCTGAATCAACTCCAAAATGCTCATATTTTGGCCCCAACAGCTGAAGAAAGTCCCTTCTCTTCAGAGTTGTTACTGTAACAGTTTTTCAATCTATCAATGTAGTGGTTTGATTAAAAAGGTTGAAATTCATTGTCTGAATTACAAACTAATCTGGTATGTAGATTTGAAGGCATCTATCATAGAATGCCTAGGTCTGTTTTTATCTTTTATCATATTTAGCCCTGTCGCTTGGATATTTTTTCTTTAAAAATCTGAGAACCAACAAATCAAATTGGTGTGGCCTTAGGTGGACGTGCTGACCCGACGTGACTGGGTATGCAAAGAGGGGATGTACAAGAAGCAGGACTTTTGGTCCCCCAGCCACATGCAGGGTGAGACTGGCAGGGGTGGATGGTAGAACGTGATGGCCGATGCAAATTCCTGGTCTTGGCAGTTGCAGTAACTTACAGTACAGACTACTACAGTGTTACACATAATTATAATACTTTTTGATGAGGCATCTGCAACTCGTTGACAAGCTAAGGCCTAGGAAAAAAAAGGTTGTGTTTCAGGTATTTCCCGACCGACCCTAGAAAAACCTGCTGACCCTAGACTTTTTTGGGTGGACCCCTGCAAACTTATCGACCTTTTCTAGCTCCATGATCTGACACCTGAGTGATAAAATGTTGTACAATTGGTTTTCTAACATTGACACTGAAAATCAAAAGTGCCCTTGTGCAAGTTTTACTTTGTTAAACTGTATTGCATAAGTTGGGCCCCTATAATGGCTATATAGATATCACTAAAAAAAAAAAGATAATCCCTACCTACCGACCCTAATTTTTTCAGGTCTGAAACAGGAAACACAGCATTTTTTTCCTTAGGCCTAAGAATGGCAATCAAATTGAGGCATATTGATTTGTAATATACATATTGTTTATTTTAAAAGGACTCTTCTAGCTTGTGATACAGTTGGGAATTCTCAATCCATGCAAATCTAACTAATTCTTAGTTGAATCCAAGGCGAATTCACCACACAAAAAGGCCTCTAAAAGGCATCCAATGCAATTTCAGGGTGGCAAAACTGGATTTTCGAAGTCAATTTTCTGGCCATTCTTTTAATGTGGTACATGTAAGTTGAATCAACCTACATACCATACTATTACTAGTATACTGTGAGGCAAAAATGCTATGTTGCTGACGGAGGATGGTTGCTTTCTTTGTATTAGACTGGTTCTAGCTACCAGTAGTTATGGGCGGTACCAAAAAAAGAGGGGTGCATTAATTTAATGTATTCATAAACGGTAACTTTAATATCCTGCAATGGTTGAAATATTCATGCCATAACATTGTTTTTGACCAAAAATGAAATGAAATAAAAAGTTTGTTAGTGTATGACTATGAATTTGGTACCATAGTTTCAAATCCTTACTTTTCTATTTATACAGATAAACCCTTCTGACTCAGAGTTGAAACTAACGCATGCAAATAAAAATTGCCCCCCCCCCGATACTAGTACAGTTCGTAATTTAGGTAATAATTATAATTTATAATTCCCATATACCTAGTCACTTTGATATCTCAACAGAGAAGGGGACATATATGTAAAGCAAAATAACTTTTTAAAAATCACTCTTAACATTTTTTCATACAACAGTAAAAAATATCATGTCTATCTGTTGCACAAACGAGAAGTGACGTCCATAATCATATCTATGATATTATTCTAGCGAGTCTACAATAGTTTCTTGTTCTGCCAGTGTGCATGGAAGTAAAGTGTACACAAGGCCTATAAAACGTACAAGGTCCTTCAGATCAAAACCATTAACAGTAGTTAATACCTTTTCAATAGCAGCTGTACGTGGTGCCAGTGATAAAGCATGGGGGTAATTCCTGCCCGAATTCTTTGTTTATGTCACGTAGCAAAACACTTGTGTAGATACTAGAGAGCTGATGTGGACAGGCTGAGAAATAGTGCCTCTAGGCTATAGAGTAGAAACACACCTACATGTGGGACACATGAACAGACTGGCCCTGGTAAGGGCATGGCGAAGGTAATACCAATCTTGCAAAGACAATGGCAACCATTTCTGCACTAAGGCCACACCAATTTCATTTGGTGGTTCTCACATTTTTTTCAGAAAAAGTTTTAAGCAACAGAGTGATATAAAAATAAAAAAAAATAAAAAACAGGACAAGGCACCCGTGATAGTCTGAAATGTTACGATAGGAGCCATGAAGTCAACATACATGTACCAGGCTGAGTTATTAACATTATTCATTAATTTTTGATTTGTTAAAAATGAAACCATTGCATTGACATTGACAGATGGAAAAACTTACTAGGAAGCCTACTACCAGGAAGACAAGGTATTTCTTGAACTGTTAGGGCCAAAATATGAGCATTTTGGAGTTGATAATTTTTTTCTTTCTTTCAGAAAATCGAAAAAAAAATGACATGGTCCAACGACATTATTGTGAATACCAGTAACCCACCTTCACATATCCATGCAGATTTGTGTTTTCTTTCAATATTGTCATGTTATTTCTTAACAAACATACATGTAACACCATTCCGCTTCAGCCTGCTCCATTAAATCCAGTCACACCATAAATTATAGGTGAGGAGACAGACAAATTAGAGAGAATTTCAGGTACCAAATTGAATCAAAACAAACAACTGGATGAAATCAGTGCGATTTACACAACACACACTAGTCTAGATAAGACTTTCCTCACTTCGCTCAGGTGTGTATACCAGAATAATCAAAAGAAAAACCAAAACTCTTGTCTGTTGTGGTTCAGTGGGTTGTCAACAGGTATGAACTGAGCAAAGGTTACCTGTGCAGTTTCCACAGTGAAAAACATGTGCTGGGCTCAAAATACTGGGTATATATTTTTTTTAAATGCACCTTTTTTTAAAGTTAATACAGGTAAAATTGGAGCTGTCCAGGTATGCTCCAATATCATCCACACTTCTCAAAGTCCAGGTCAGTGCAGGTGAAATTAGTCTGTTGCAAGTAATTTTCAAAGTTAGTTACATACACCAGTGGCTCCAGTGCATGCAAGTATGCAGAAAAAAGGATTTCTAGCCCTGGCTTGTGGTCTAGTTGAGGTTACTTGAGGTCGCTGAGCCCTGGAATGCCACTAATACAGTATACAGTGGAGGTTTTGTTGTCAGAGGTGATACAGTATACTGGCAGATTCACATATGCTCACTGATCAATGGGAATTTAACCACAGAAGCTAACACTGTAACAGGGGTAAAGTAAATGCTATAGCTATAGTGGAGACTACAAAGAAATGCTAAATCTAATCATTTCGAGGTCTCATGAAGACCTGAACACCTACAAGATATCAGGATAAGCCTTCTTGAGTTACCGTCTTTACAAACACACAGACACACGAACACCAACGAAAACATAACCTTCTTGCCAAAGGTAATACTGATATAGCCCATTTGCATGGCTGCCTAATGCTATCTTGATCCTGAATCTGATGCCAATACGAGTAATTTGACCGATTTGAAGGGAAAATAATCTTGTAAATCCCCCACCTTATATACTGGTCTAGTTCCGGATGGTACATGGTATTTAAAAGTAAGCTAGAGCCCCTTTGAATGTCGTTTTTCTGACAAGCTTTCTGTCATAAAATAAAAGAATCTTAAGCACATCTTTCATTTGGATGATTGATACATGATTTTTTAAATGGCATGAATAGATTTAGCTGATCAGGCTGTTACTACAAAGTACACCCATCTACTATATTATACTTGAACAACTGACACATATAACCTTCCATGATTTGCTGGATATATCTATTATTTAACATTGGTATTTGGTATACTATTAGTATCATAATACTACAATAGTACTGAATGTGTATATGGTCTGACTATATACCTGTTACCAGTCAGTGCAATATTATTTTGGAACATAAGATTTCCTGTCTGGAACAAAGATTATGTAAATATCGTAATTTGAATAGAATAAAGGAGGAATGCCATTTTGTAATAGACTAGAGTCAGGTGAATGTGTTTGTTTGCTTGTTTGTTTGTTTGTTTGTTTGTTTACCTGTAAGAAGGGTACACTGCTGGTGAAGGTGGATCCCCCGTGCTGGAGCTGAAACTGATGGCACCGTGAACATGTGTACTAGTATGTGTTTGTTTGTATGTTTGTTTGTTTACCTGTAAGACGGGTACACTGCTGGTGAAGGTGGATCCCCCCGTGCTGGAGCTGAAACTGATGGCACTTGAACATGTGTATGTGTTTGTATGCTTGCTTGTTTGTTTGTTTGTTTACCTGTAAGACGGGTACACTGCTGGTGAAGGTGGATCCCCCCGTGCTGGAGCTGAAACTGATAGCACCGTGAACATGTGTACTAGTATGTGTTTGTTTGTTTGTTTGTTTGTTTGTTTGTTTACCTGTAAGACGGGTACACTGCTGGTGAAGGTAGATCCCCCCGTGCTTGAGCTGAAACTGATGGCGCCGCGCCTGGCCAGGACGTAATCCGGGATGTTCCTATCCAGGGGCAGCACGGGCAAGTCTTGGCGCTGGCGGCCGTTCGGGCTCCATATTTCCATCCCTCTCCCGTTCCGGGCGGCAAGGGTGTCCTTCTCCCCTTGTACTTCCAAGGTGCCGATCTGCTACAGTCTACGTCGCTGGTAAAAATCATAGAAGCGTTACGAAAGCAAGGACGTCGGCTGCTGCGGGGGTTGTGCGGGGTTCCCTCCGTGGCGATTCGCGCCTGTCTACGGCCTCACGAACGGACTGGCTCGCGTGCGGCAAAATCATGGATCTCCGCTTATCTCCTAGAATATTAGCCAGACCCTTCTTCTTCATAGAATCCTATCTTTACGAGATTTTTTCGTCGCAGAATTTGATAGCCTTTTTTATCGTTCAGCCTGAAACGAAGTTCGAAAATTCAAGGAGGGGGAGGGGGGCACAGATCACAAAGGTCGTCAACTCCGCGGGTTTACTGAACGTGCGATTCTTGTACAAACCTTCTGCATTTGTCTTCGCAGATTGCAAACTAAAAGTCAGGGTCGTACAGACAACACTGTGCCCATAGTGTCTGACGTTGTGAGGGATTAATTTAGATTTTAGAGTCTATATACTCCAGGCTGACCACCGGCCGGTGGAACAACTAGAAGAACCCACTTCACTACATACACGAGTCCTGGTGATCTTGAGCTCCTCGCCTGTCCGTATATCCAACTTCTCCGCCTAAACCTGGTCTGAAAACGGACGCTGCAGCCTTGATAACCTCATCTGCAAGCAGCTTCGTCCTTCTCCATTTTAAGTGCACACTTAAGTCGTAAGCTACTTTCCCCTCAAACTAGGAAAGTGGTGTCACAAAGCGCGGAAGTACATGATGCCGCCCAAGGCAACCCGGGCATAGGGGTTGTGCATGTGTCAATACAAAACGCTAAGAAGATCAATTTAATACCCATTTTAAGTATAATATGACTAAACATACTTCAGTAATCTGATTGTATAACATTTTTTACAATCAAGGAATGATGTTTGCTCATCAGTTTCTTGTATGGATCACATTGATACAGATTTAGGTTCATACAGGTGTCTCAAAATACCTTATGCAGACCCTCAGTTACAGCTGACAACACTTTCTTGTTTCCCGTCATCCTCTCCGACAGGACGCTGCCGTAGTCTCGGGAAATCTCGCGTTAGTTTGACAGCGGTGTTTCCTTTCTCCAGTTTGCGTCATCAGACACCAGATCGGACACCCAATGACGCTCCTTGTGACAACCAGGTCTTCTCTCAACCTTCTTTCAACGCCTAGATATACTTCTGATCGCCATGACGTCACGGTAGTAAAAAAAAGGATGACGGCTGGTTGATTTGCCTACCAATGATTTGCATAAGTCTTCAAATAATTTGCATGTATGTAATGTAAACAAAAACAAAATGTAAACAAAAATCGCTTATATACAGTGTACGTCTAGATCTTAGAAATTATCTTTCAATTTTAATATTCTAAGATGCTATGCTTTCTTCATATGAACGTTTGATGATAGGTTCATCAGTTACACTTTACTATCATTTAGGCCATGTTGATTTGATTATATGGATGACATCTGCGGGCGCGGAATTTTCGTCCGTTTCCAAAAAAAAAAACGTTTTCGACCATTGGAAAATATTGGAAATGATACTTATATCACAGAATGACAAAATCCATTCCAAATGACAAGAAGAAAATGTGAAGGAATAAAATTGTGACTCTACTTTTCACCATGCCAATAAAATATTAGTCTGTGTGTTGTGCACCATATACAAAAACTTCGCCGCTCTGAGTTGATGTACTTTGAGTATCTAAATGTTACTGAAGAATGAATCTATGCATCACATACAATTAAAGCCAACACCACCCTAAGTCGATGTACTGTATCTACGGTAACATGTGTCTCACACCTGTCATTCCGTTTGTCCGTCCAACTGACTCAGAGTTGAGGGAGGTTATGGAAGAGGCGAGGGCGCTCCTGGAGGAACTGACTGAACAGTCTGAACAGCTGGATACACGGGAAATGGACGACATGGACGTGGAGAACATTCTCACAGATCAAGGTAAGAACTCTGGCTGGTTTTAATTGTTTTCCCTTTGAGACTCCATCACTACAAGAACTCCGACTTTCAAGCACAGATTAAAGCACGTGAAGCACGCCAGAAGAAATTCACAGAAATATCATATTAGATATAACTGCAGATTACATACAGAACTTTATTTCTGGACCACCTAATAACCAAACCGAATCTATTTCCCTGTTACTAATAATGCTTTTCTTTTTTACACGGACATTAGAAGGAGACGGTAGCGCCGAGTGACCTAACGGACGACCCGGATAGAATAACTTAATGGCGTCAAAAGAGATGAAAATAAGAAAAAATAGACCCAATGTGTCATTGGACGATTAGTCGTCTCTTTTTAAATCTCTTGAATTGATTCCTTTTGTATAACATGTAATGTTAATGCAGAGGATCCAAAACCCAGAGTGACCACATGGCATCCAATATATAGACATTGGAAATGCTAAAAGACGCCAAAAATACTTTTTAACATGGTTCGGTGCCAAACAATCGAGCCAGTACGTAGACGCATAGAACACCTGGTATCAAATACTGTATATATACTGAGACCATACTGTATACTTTCTCCTTGATCCAATAAAACTTATCAAAAGAACTTGCCAATTGATTTTTTCTCTGCTTATATTACGTACAATAGCAGTGACAATCGATACTTCTATATAGAGTGAACGATGACTGAACTGAAATGCGAAATTTGAACTTTTGGTATATAAAAGGGCGAGTTGTCGATTGTGTCCAGTATTTTATTATTTTCTATACTTAATATCTTGACATTTGAAACTGTCAATGCCATGTCGTTGAATAGTAGTGACCATATCCGAGCGCATCATAACTAACTTTTGATGTCTGAAATGATCAGTACTCGTTGTGAACACTTCCAGAAGGTTTAGAATCTCAGACATCTTGTTGTATGATTGTAAGTCTGATTGTAAACCGTTTCTGATTAGTCTTTTCCAGACAACTGGTCCGGGAGAATTTTGTCAGAGGAGTTTGGCCGCTTTGTGGGTTTGTTTGAATTCAGAGGAAGCAGCGCAAAATCTAGGTCAAACGGGCGGATTTTACTTGGGGCGCAAGAATACCCGGAAGTAAGGTTCGTAGTCAAAAGATATTTTCACCCCAAAACCACAATTTCTTCCACTCTTAAGCCATGTAATGTTAAATGATATTTGATGGCAGTTTATAAGAAATGTCACCTCAAACTTGGACCCTCAAAACCCTTTCGTCACTTTTCTTACCGCGCACTAGGGGTATGCTATGAGTGGGGGCAAGGATGAGGATCAGGGAGGGCTACGAGTGGGGGCAAGGATCAGGGAGGGCTACGAGTGGGGGCGAGGATGAGGATCAGGGAGGGCTACGAGTGGGGGCAAGGATGAGGATCAGGGAGGGCTACGAGTGGGGCAAGGATGAGGGATGAGCTACGGAGGTGGGGGCAAGATCAGGATCAGGGAGGGCTACGAGTGGGGGCAAGATCAGGGAGGGCTACGAGTGGGGGCAAGATCAGGATCAGGGAGGGCTACGATGGGGGCAAGGATGAGGATCAGGGAGGGCTACGAGTGGGGGCAAGGATGAGGATCAGGGAGGGCTACCAGTGGGGGCAAGGATGAAGATCAGGGAGGGCTACCAGTGGGGGCAAGGATGAGGATCAGGGAGGGCTACGAGTAGGGCCAAGGATGAGGATCAGGGAGGGCTACGAGTGGGGGCAAGGATGAGGATCAGGGAGGGCTACGAGTGGGGGCAAGGATGAGGATCAGGGAGGGCTACGAGTGGGGGCAAGGATGAGGATCAGGGCGGGCTTATCAACCTTCCTGACAACCTAGATTTCATTATGATGGCAACTTTACTTTTAGCCAAATTTTTTTATTATTATTTTTCGCCCGCTCGCATCAGTTTTTGGGTTCCAAGAGGATGTCATCCATATGATCAAATCAACATGGCCTTAGTTATAACTGTTACATGTCACCCTTTTACACATGGAGATTTATTTAATAAACCAAACCAACCTGCATTTCTAGTTATCATCTTGCTGCTCGTACTTGTTTGTAAATAATGATAGTTGTATAAAATTTGTTCACCGAAAACAAGTAATGTTGAGATAGCTTACCGCAGTATTGCCATGTGACAGGTATGATAAACACACTAGTGTCGCTTCGTTTTTGTAGGTCGATATTCAATGATGACCTACAAACATTCGCCCGGCACGTACCTGGTAATCTGCATATTACTAGTATCTCCCACAGAGCCCAAAATATACATTGTTTGTCTGAAAATGGACAAAACAAAACAGATAAAACAATGCGGTCATCAAAATTCTCCAACCAGAATACCTGCTTTTAATTTTGAAGAGAATGGCAGTAGCGTATGCATGTCTATTGTGTTCTCAGTGACAGACCACATATTTAATGTCAGATAGAGATGTGCGAAATGTACCGTGGCCGACAAGTACAAACTGTGTAGTCTACGCAAAGTATGAATTGGTGGTGCAAATGTGCTAAGAAATGACAGTCAATGTCAATATCAGACAGATTGCCTCATCCTTAATTTTTTTTCTTTATTGTTTTGCCGCTCTAAGATTGCATCAGGTGGCCTTTAAAACACTGTAGTTGTGTCCTACAGAGTGTCGACCTTGTTTATCCAGCTGAAATCTACGGGTTAGCAGCTCCACTGTAAAAGTGGCAGCTATGACGTCAAACTAAGACCACAGCAAGTAAATTTCATGTATGACATATCAGCGCGGGCATTAATTTTCTCATGGCTTTAGGAAAAAAACAAGAAATTTTGTTGCCCTCTAACAGTGGTTAACATGCCGAAAATGGGTAATTTTGTCTGTTGCCATGCCGGAACGTGGATGGTAGATAAATGAAGAGAGGAGACAAGACAAGGCTCTCATTTAATGTTTTGTCTTTTACTTTGGTGCAGTGATGTGTTTTATTCCTTTTTATATGTGATAGTGGCTGTGTATATGTGATGTTCCCACTGAATCAAAACCATTTGTACAATGATTGAAAACTTTTCAATGGGAACGTTTCAGTGTGAAATGGATGTTGTAATAGTTGGCAGTAAACTTATAGGTATCATTTCTTGTTTATAACAAGGTTTATGGGCCCGCCTTGTTTTTTTCGCCTTGTCGCGCTAGATTTGGAGTCTGCGGAGGATGTCATCCATAAAATGTACTTGCTGTGGTCAATAAAGGGGCTGGAAGGAGACTACAGGGGGTATCTGATTGCACATATCCCCAATAACCGACCTAAACCTCGTGATATCGATAAAAATCTTATCTGTGTCGACTTGTCCACCATTGTTTCGCTCTTCGTGTCGGTTCGAAGAAGCTTAAGCTGTGCAAGCCTTTTGATACTGCGTTTTGTAGAATTTTTAACGCGTTCTTTTGCCGACCACCCTACACCACGGCATATCACCTTCTCTGTGCGACTGGTTGTAGGACGGCCGGCAAAAGAACGCGTTAAATTCTACAAAGACGCGGTGTCAAAACTCCCGCCCGGAGGCCTGGACAGGAGGCTAACAGATAGTGACGTAATCAGTGCGTTGGCGCGCCTTGCCTGTGAAACAGGTGTCTTCGTTATGATTGGCCGAGAACACAATTAGGTTATCGACCAGGCTTAACCCGGAATCGAACATCTATCCTTTAAGAACATATCTGTTGAGTCAAGCCCTGGTCATATGACAGAAGGATTAGCCAAGACAGTGGACCCGAGTGCCTTGATCGACAAATACTGACAGGTGAGAACTTCACGATGCTTCATCTATAGTACATAATTTCAAAGTTTTGACAAAAATAT